TTTAAAAAAAAAAAAAAAAGAAGAGGAGAGTCTGTTTTTCTCTCTCTCTGCTCTCTCTGCTTCCACCATCTTGCAATGTGAGAACCCTGGGTCACTGCTGCCGCCAACAGATGGACTTTGGACTTCCTAGCCTCAAAAACTATAAGCAATAAATTTTGTTTTTCTTTATAGATCACCCAGTCTCAGGTATTCTGTTATAGCAACACAAAAAGGACTAATCCAGACATGAATATTTTGGGTTTATGACAGTAATAATGACTTTACTTTGATCAAAATAAGCTATTTGATAGACATTTCAGAACATTGAGAGACTAGGCATCAAATGAGTTTTCCATTGTTTTCTATTCCAAGCCCCATTATACATCATTCAGCAGTCACCACATGAGCCTTCTGATTGCTTAGTTTCTTTTTTTGTTTGTTTTTCTTCTTTTCCTTGGTTTCGATTTTTTTTTTTTTTTTTTCCCAAAAGATGACCAGTAAGGGGATCCTAGCCCTTGACTTGGCTCTCCCAAGTGAGCTAACTGGCCATCCCTATATAGGGATCCAAACCTGTGGCCTTGGTGTTATCAGCACCACACTCTCCCGAGCGAGCCATGGGCTGGCCCTTGGTTTCGATTTTTAATTTTTTTTTTTTTTTAAAGATGACTGGTAAGGGGATCTTAACACTTGGCTTGGTGGTGTCAGCACCCCACTCAGCCAGTGAGCAAACTGGCCATCCCTATATAGGGATCCGAACCCGTGGCCTTGGTGTTATCAGCACCACACTCTCCCGAGCGAGCCATGGGCTGGCCCTTGGTTTCGATTTTTAATTTTTTTTTTTTTTTAAAGATGACTGGTAAGGGGATCTTAACACTTGGCTTGGTGGTGTCAGCACCCCACTCAGCCAGTGAGCAAACTGGCCATCCCTATATAGGGATCCGAACCCGTGGCCTTGGTGTTATCAGCACCACACTCTCCCGAGTGAGCCACAGGCCGGCCCTCCACATCACATGTTTTAAGATGTCTTTGCCTCCTGTCCCTTTCTCAAATCTACTAGATATTGGGGCCCACTGGGTATGGGCCTACAACCTGAGTCTTCCCAGGCAGGAATGCTGAACAACCTCGGCACTCCCACCCGTCCCAGGGCCAAGAAGTGGTTTCACTTTCAATCGGGGTTGGACCAAGACTCAGAGAAACACTGACTTGGCTGTCACCTGGTGCCTGGGACCTGAGGAAGCAGAGGGAGGAAGGGCAGATGGCTATGGTCCTGGGAGAGGACTGAGGTGGTACCACCCTGGCCTCTGAAATTCTGCTAGATGCAGTCTGGAGGTTGGGGTGGGACATTTACTCATGTAACAAATACTGAGCACATGCTCTGTGGACATAAAACAGCTACTAAAAAATCCTGCCTTCGTGGATCTGATGTTCTAGCTGGGGAGACAGACAAGACAGAATAATACACAGAGCACATCAGATAGTTATGCATTCTGTGGGAAAAAATAATGCATGAAAGGGGTGACCAAGATGAGAGTGGGAGAGAGGGCAATTTTGACTTGGTCAGTGATGATCTCCCTGACAAAGTGACATTTGTTCCAAGTCCTGAAAAGAGTTGGACAGGCAGTGAGGATGGTCCCCTGAAGAGTGTTCCAGGCAGAAGGAAGAGCAGGTGCAAAGACCCTAAGCTGAAACTATGACCACACCCAGCTTGTCGAAGAAGAAACAGCAAGCAGCCTTTGGAACAGGATACCTTCCCCGTCTCACTTCCTGCTACCACACAATAAGGCTTGTCTGCTTTATTTTCCACCTGGGCTCAAAGGTCTTTCCCTCTTACTTTGGGGATGCTGAGCGAGCCCAGGTGTGACTTTGGACTTGGGGGTCGACTGTGGGGGGAGGGAACACAGGAGGCTAATGGAACCATCCCTACCTCCTCCTCCTCCAGAGCAACGAGCAGCCACTGGATCTTTAAAAAGAAACACACTGGGAGAAGTAGGTTGCCCCTGCTGCAGCTCAGCCTCTATTCTGTAGTGTCAAGAGACAGGAGGTGCTGAAAGTTCAGGCACCTCCCTTCACAGTGCTTACCAGCTCTGACCCGACCAGGGGAAAGCCTGAAGGGGGAGGAGAATCAAGTTCAGGTTCTAGTGAGTCACGCAGCTCTGGCTTCAAACTGTTCTAGTGCCTGTTGGCTAAATGATCTTGGGTAAGTCACTTAGCCTTTCTGTGATTCAGGTTCTTCATCTATAAAATAGGGGTAAATTACAGAAGGGTCAAGTTCTAAATTAAGGGTTATATTCATACAGTCAACTTTAACCCCGACGTTGTTTAAAACAGCTATCACTGCTTCTCTGGGTGAAGAAGTTGACTTGTGTTCGAGGGCCGTGCTTGAAAAATGACCTTTTAATTCCTCAGTGCTCAGGCAGGGAGGCTGTTGTAAACTGAGAGCACGTTTGTAAGGCTGTTGTAAACTGAGAGCGCGTTTGTCTCCCATCCCAGATTCACAGCTGGGTACTAGCTCCCTGAGTTTATTTTGCATTGAGTGCTTCTAGTTGAAATGAAGTAAGTTTGCCATGCATGGGCTGTTTTGAGAATTGCATGAGATATTATCTGGAAACCTCTTTTTTTTTTTTTTAATTTTATTTTGTCGATATACAATGTGGTTGATTATTGTGGCCCATTACCCAAACCTCCCTCCCTCCTCCCACCCAACAATGTCCTTTCTGTATGCTTGTCATGTCAACTTCAAGGAATTGTAATTGTTAGGTCTTCTTCTCCCCCCCCCCCCCCCCCCTGTTTTTTTTTTTTTTTTTTTTTTTTTTTTTTTTTTTTTTTTTTTTTTTTTTTTTTTT